TGTGAGTGGTTTCTATGTGATCATTTCAATCATTCATTTTTAAAGTGCTCCCATGTGAGAATTCCATTATCGATTTTAAACCAATCATACCATTGAAGAATATCTTCATCTATTTGTGTTGAAGCATTATCCACTTTAGGAGCTTCTGGTGTTCTATATAAACGAACAAAGGAAAAAGCAAACTCTCCTCTAAAAATCTAACCTGTTGGATCTCCTCCTTGCCATTGAGGAAGTTCCATTTTATGTAAGAATTAGCCATTATCACACTTTTCAATAACCTCTTCCAGCAACTTCAGTAACAAAGGATGAAGTTTTAGGGATGATGGTCTGCAAATGGTTTCAGTAACAAAGAAAATTGATAGCAGTTCGAGAGTGCTATAGTCTCTCCCCTTGCAATACTTCGCCCAGATTTTTCCTACCTTCCTTTCTCTCTATTTTCTCTCCATATTCCTGTCAATCCTAACTAACATTTGTTTTTTCTGTTTCTTTTCCGCCAATTACAGAAATACCCCTCACTCTGAAGGCTGCATTGCTGGTGAAATTAGCTTGCCACCTCACCCTTCTCTCTTTCCTGCTCCTCTCATACAGAAACTTAATTGGGAGTTCATCAGATGCCTTTTGTGGCCATATAAGAGAACTCTTTTAGCTTTTCAAGTTGCTTATGAGTATTGAATACGGGAACTATTTAGTTTGAGATTTGAGATCTTCTATCTTCAGTCTCTTCAATTAAGCTACTCTTATTGTTTCCTACTGCTTTCTCTGTATTTTGACTTCAGTCCTCTCATGATCTCTTATTCTCTTCTCTCTCATTTTGTATTTGACATCAATCAGTATCAAAAAGAAATTGTCCTATATTCTTCTGTACCAAAGCCCTGTTATTGTACATTAAAATTTATAGAACACTAAACCCGATAAGTGATTTCTCTGGTTGATTTGAACAACTAAAAACACTTAACAATTTTTTTTCTGTTTCCCTAGCCATATTGTCAAAGTAGTATTCACAAAAAATGTAAAATATCGCACCAAAATACCATTTTTATATCCTTTGACTATCATGTATTACCAACGCTGCGAATCCAAACAATCAAGAACCAATGAATGTATAAGTTCAAACATCATCATTTGGACAAACCTGATTTAGAACTTCAAAATCTGAAAGCAGCTTAACTGTTGAGCTATAATCCTGCATAATTCATTTTCAATGTCAACAGAGGGATATGTGAGCTTTTCAACCCTATTTAACATGTGATGAATTGATTCCTGTAGAAATTTTCCTTATGATGATACCTTTTTTAGTTTCTGTTCTTTCTCAAACAATTCCAAGATGGAATTCATGCAATCTGCCGCAAGAAGCATCCAGCATCTGAGATCCAAGTGGCGCTCATCTTCACTTGGATGTGAAGCACGGGGATAATCATCAAGCCCAGATGACAGTGTCTGGAAATGCCAAGAACGATATAATCATCTTTCTGAAGTGCATTGATCCAATGAGCACAACTAGATCATGATTTGATTAAATGATACAACAAAAATAAATTAAATTAAAATAAAGTATAAACATATCAAGATATGCTATCTAATTTTTGGTCAAAAGAAAAAGAAGGGTAGGGCAAATGCGTCAATGTAATGAGTTATGGGCACTATCATCAAATGAAAATCAGACCTCTGCTATATGCATACTCCCATCTTCAAGGCCCATAGTCGTATTGCAAAATGAATGCAAAATGGGAATAAGCTAAAATGAAATATTAAGTATTACAATATAGATTTATGGTATTGCTGTTGTTATTACTGCTGAAGAAATAGTAGAGTTTTTATTAGGCTATCTATTACAAGAATAGGAAAGCCAATACTAGAAGCAGAACTATACAGTAACCATTATGACTCCTCCTGATGGTGAACTGGGAATGGAAGTACTACCGGTTAACCAAGTTTCTAAGAAATTCCCTCTCGAAAATTGCAGAAGAATTAATTGCATTTTTAAAGATGTATATTTTACTAAGTATTTGTGATAGTTGTGAGGGAAATAATCTGTCATAGACAGGAGGGTTTTTATGTTAAGTTTGTGTGCATAAGTGAAACCATGTGTTTTGGATATTATTAGACAGTTCTGTCCTTAGGGAGGGCAATTTCTATCCCTAAGAAGGCACTTAGGTTGTAGTTGACAGACCTATATAATTCAGTTCTGTTCTATGACGTCCAGAAAGTTTGTCTTAAGGTTTCTTAAGTAACCTTTGGGTTAATGAGCCATAATATTCATATTATCATAGGCTCAAAGGGAACAAAAAGGCAGAGAAAATTTGATTCATCTTGAACAGATTTCACCCTCCAAGGGCCCATAACTATATCTGGGGGACGGAGCATACCAATTTGGTGCCAAAATCAATACTTTACTACTTAGACTAAGTTTGTTTAGTCTTGTTTATTGGGCTTCTGCATAAAATGAGTTCACGCAAAGACACATGAACTGCTCTAGTCATTTTGATTAAAGGGTTTTACTATTTTCCCATGAGTCATTCTGCATTTGGAAGCACCAGCTGTAACTGTTAACACTAAAAAGCTACACATTTCAGTCTATACAAACATTATATGAGTGATTGTGGGATTGTGACAGTATGTTCTATATCAATTATATGCCAAGGAATAGAACCTTTGGATTTAGTTCGCGAGTTGTGGTGTTGTCTCTCCCATGCCAGAAATATGTGCCAATCTCCTTCCCTAATTTCAGAATGAGAATAACAGGAAACAATTGGAAGTCAAAAATCAGATTATCTAGTCAAGCATGTAACAAAAATCTCTAATCAAATGTCAAGTAGGACACATTGCCAGAGTATCAGATTATCATCTGTAAGCAAATTATTGTTTATGTGGGAATTAAAAGATAAACAAGATTTCTTGTACATTGAAAAGGAGCATATACATAAGCATATATAGCTTTTACAAAGAGAAAAAAGAACTAACTACAGAAAAACAAATCAAATCAAACCTCCATACCAGTGAGGGTCCTTAACTGATATCTCATATTCTTAGGAAAACTTTCTAATATTGAGAGAGAAGGTTGATTAATTTTTTGACATTTGCCCTCAAGCTGGTGAATATGCATTTTTCATTCTCAGCTCAGATAGGTCCTTGGAAGGTCGTAGTCCTTTTGTTATCACATCTGGAAATTGGCTATTTGTTGAGTCGTATTGAGTACAAATCAATCCATTATCCAACTTCTTATCAGCCTCCCAATTTGTTTTATCTTGAGTTCTCTTACTAGGCATCTTTTCAAAGCTTCCTTATCTTTATCATCATTTTCCAGTTATAATTATGTCATTGGCATATACTCAAAATGCGGTTTCTGCTTGAAGTACCTTATAAAGAGTGTACAATCTCCCTAACTTTGTCTACATCTGATGACAAGCATTACCTTTGGCAAATCTTTCAAACCAAATCCTTGGTGATTGCTTTAAAAAATACAATGTTTCGTTCAGTTAATAAACTTATTGTCTCTTAGTTTCCCTTTAAGCTTTGAAGAATATCCATCTATATTTCTTCCTCCAAATTGTCATTTAGGAAAATGTTCTTTATATTGAGTTATTCCAAATACCAATAAAAGTTGGTTGCTAGAGACAATAAAACTCTTACCACATTCATTTTTCCATCGAAGCAAAACGTCTCTTGATAGTTAATACTTTAGGTTTATATATATCATTTGCCATGTGTTTGGCTTGTATCTCTATAGGGAGCCCTCTGACTTGTACTTGACTGTAAACACCTCCTTCCATAGGCTTCTTTCAGGTGGTAGGTCCCATGTTTGGTTCTTCTCTAATGCCTACATCTCTTCTCTCATAGTATTTTTCTACTTTCCCATCAGATAATACCTTAAATAAAGTATTTAGAACTTGACCAGTGTTCTGTCTTATTGGAAAGCTTTTATGTGAAGGTAAGAATTTTTCAAGCGATGCAAATTTTGCTACTAGATAGAATGGATGCTTAATACATTATCGTGCATATGTACTAACCCATAGCAAGATCATGATCATATGGTAGTTGAGGAGAAATTTGCAGAATTGCAATTATTTACCATTGTAAAGAGTTAGAAAAAAAATATTGAATATTTCTTGTATTTTATTCTAATAGATTAGAGATATATATATATATATATATAGAAGATTGATCTAATATGGTAACATAAATCACCCTATTAATGTTACAAAATCAACTAATGATTACATAACAATATTCTGAAATATATTTTGTAATATTATTACATTCCCCCTCAAGCTGAAGTATAGATATTAATCATGTCCAATTTATTACGAAGATATTCAGTTCAAATTCTATTTAAAACTTTTGTAAATATATTATTTGGTTGTTCCCCTGTTTTCACATAATCGATATAAATAAAGTTTTTTTGAATTTTCTCATGAATGAAGTGATAATCAATTTCGATATGTTTATTTCTTTCATGATACACCAAATTTGAGACAATATAAAAGGTAATTTAATTATCATACTAGAATTTTGCAGGAATATGAGATTCAAACCCACTTCAGCCAAAATGTATTGTATTCATAAGACTTCACATGTGAATTGGATCATAACACTAATTTTGGACTCTGCACTGGACCGAAACACAACGGTCTGCTTCCTACTTTTCCATAATACTAGGTTCCCACTAACAAAAACACAATAACCTGCAGTGGACCTTCTATCAATTTTATATCTAACCCAATTAGCATTTGCAAAATATTCAATATGAGTATGCCCATGATTGCTAAACAATATGCCAAGTCCTGAAATACCTTTTAAGTAACACAAAATCTATTTCAAAGTCTTCCAATATTTGATTGTAGGTGCAGAGATAAATTAACTAACAACACTGACAGAGTATGTTATATTTGAAAGAGTCATTGTGAGATAATTCAATTTCCCAACTAATCGTTTATACCTTTCAAAATCATTGAGGGGGTCACCATCATTTTTAGTAAAATGTACATTTGGTATCATTGGTGTGTTACATGACTTATCTCCCAACTTTTCGATTTCTGCAAGTAGATCAAGTACATACTTCCTCTGAGACAAGAAAATTTATTTCTTACTTTTTGTTGCTTCTACTCCTAAGAAGTATTTTAATTGATCTCAATCTTTAGTGTGAAACTTGACATGTAAGAATGACTTAAAAGAGAATATTCCTGCACAATCATCTCCTGTAATGACAATATCATTAACAAAGACAACAAGAAGTATAAAACCAATTGCTGACTGTGCATACAAGACTGAGTGATCACATTTACTCTTCTTCAGTCTAAATTCTAAAGGTACTTCACTAAATTTTCCAAACCACGCAAAGGGAATCTGCTTTAAACCATATGAAGATTTCTTCAAATGATAGACTTTCCCGTACTCCTTCTGAGCAACAAACTCAGGTGATTGCTCCATATATACTTCTTCTAGGAGAATGCCATGAAGTAATGCATTCTTGATATCTTACTGGTATAAGAGCCAATTTCGAGATGTCGCAATAGAAATGAATGGACAAACAGATGTAAATTTGACCACTAGAGAGAAAATATCAGAATAATCTACCCCATAAGTTTGAACATAGCCTTTTGCTACAAGTCTGACTTTAAGTTTTGCCACAGAGCCATCTAGACTTACATTAACTGAAAATATCCATTTGCACCCCACAGTCTTTTTTCCTTTGAGTAGATTTATCAAATTTCAAGTATGATTTTTATCGAGAGTATTTATTTTCTCAACTATTTCATTATGCAAACCAGGATAATTTAAAGAGAAGATAAAACATTTTTTCTTTGATTCAACAAAAGCAGAAAATTCATTTAAATATTCGTGATACTGGGAGAATTTTAGCATATTCGTCAGCTGAAATTATAACAGTTTTCTCATAAGATAAACTGGCAGTAACAACAACGATATTAGCAGCCTGTGTCCTCCGATTGTGATTTTATAATTTTTTACAGTATCGGTTTATATGCTCTTGTTTACGGTAGTAATAACAAACAATATTACAATTCATTTTAATCCAAAAATTAAATCGTTAGATGAGAGCCACCGGAACCACCTAGAAATTCAGCAAGCCAAAGATACAGGGAAAACACTGTAAATAAACCAAAAATTCTAAGAAAACAAAATATCTCTTCACGCACAGCTGCCAACAAAACCACCAAAACCTCACTGTCACCATTAGAGGCCGATTGCTGCCGTACGCGCCGCCGTCAAAATACCACATGTTGCCGCCGGAAAACCCAAACAACTTCCCTTTTGGTCAGAAATCATCACAAAACCATGGCGCACCTAAGTCTGGAATGGATTTTGCAAAATTGTGCCAGAAACACCAACGAACCTGGCTGTCGCGCGATCTGCCTCCGCCTCGGCTTCCTCCTTTCCAACCTTCTGTTTCACACTCAGAACTGTTTTCTAGCTTCTGTCTTCACGCAGAATCTAACTCGCACGCGAAACATCTTCCTCCGACACTCACGATACGCGCGCAAAACTAGACACCGTCGAAATGGCTTCCTCTGCTTCTTCTACTTACACCACCGTGCTCGTTGTACTCTAAATTGGACGGTGGTTGGAAGTTGACTTCCTCCGGCGCTGGGAATGGGTGTTCGACCCCTTCTTTGGTCCGATATAATCTGACTCCTAAAACCATAATCCTCACTCTGATATCATGTAAAGAGTTAGAGAAAAATATCGAATATTTCTTACGTTTTATTCCAATAGATTAGGGATATATATATATACAGAGGAGAGATCTATATATGGTAACATAAGTCACCCTATTAATATTAAGAAATCAATTAATGATTATATAGGAATATTCCGTAATATATTTCAGTAATATTATAACAACTATATTCTCAATATTAAGTGTTGAGTCTTAAACTTGGACATGATCAGAATCGATTCTCAGCCTCTTCTTCAATATACCTGCATAAATCTCACTAAGGCATGGAATTCATTATTTTCTATAACGGGTCCGGCGTGAATGGGTGAGGATGTTGAAATGGATTTGACTTGGTAGGTGGTAAGAGTTGGACCAATAAATAGGTTATGTTGGTGAAAACTCAAGTAAAAACAAGTCTATGTCCTTATCTTTAATGAATGATAAAAACTTCTCTTGAAGATATGACAAAATGAAATAAGATTTTTCTGATCAAAAGTGATGTTTATAGATGTAAAAAATTTCTTAGTAGGTGAAAGGTAACACTTGTTCGCCGTTTAGGTTGGTGAATAACTAACAAATAGACACATTCAATAACTCTTGGATCTAATTGTTCTCTATTATGGCTATTGACAAAGATAAAGGTAGTGCGACCAACAATTCGGGATGAGTTTATTCGTTAGTTTTAAATTGTGATAAAACTTTTCTACGAAAATACGGGGTTAATTATGTAAGCCACTAAAAGTAAGTATGTTAATAAGTCGGGATCATAACGAGTTTTGTAAAGCTAAACTTGACTCGACTTAATATGCACAAAACTGAGCAAGTTCGCCGAATCCATACATTTTTATTCTGATTAATTTTTGATAAAACCCGACCAGACATGACCGAAGTATATATCTATGTCCACATTTACATATACCAACTTACATATATATATATATATATCTATATATATTATTTACCAAATTATATATATCATATAAATATCTGGTTGAAATTAAAAGATATATAATATATGTATCAAACTAAAAAATTGTATTTT